GTGACAAAAAAAAAAAAAAAAAACCTCTGGATTCATCTTTCTCTATAATCTTTATTTTCCTCAGCCCCATTAAAAAATTAATTTTGCATTTATTATATCTTGCTTTACTGCAGGCACCTCTAAACTACCATAAACAAGTGGTCACTGAAACAAAGACTTCACTGAAAGCAAAGAAAGCATACTCTATCCAGTGTCCTGCTTTCCCAGATACTTATCCAGCTCTTAGGATGGCAAAATTTTCATCTGTGGCTTTTGTTCCACCCCACCACTCTCCGCAATGCCATGGATGGGCTCCCAATGTGGTTTAGTGTTCAAAATCAGAAAGTAGAATAAAACAAGACTGCTACTACTACCAATATATTGCTTTTAGATAGAAATGTAAGTTTGAGAAATATTTTCATACAGATTGTCACATTTAGTCTCAAATTTAGTGTCAACTGTCAACTGTAAGGTCGGCAGGAATGGCACTATCATTTCCATTATTAATGTGAAGAACACATATCCAAGGGTGTGAAAAAATAGCAAATTTGGGGCTCAAGAAGATTCCTGTGTGTTAGGCACTGCTTCCATGAAATTACAAAGAATGTAGTTATCAGACATAGTTCCTTCCCCCAAGAAGTTCACGATCTAGTGCTGGGTGTAGATTTGTAAACCAGCAAGTGTAACACAGCATGGAAAGGGCCCACCACATACACAGGAGGTTGCATAGGAAAAGGCACAACAAACTCTACCAGCAAGAGAGAGCTGTGGGAAAGCTTATAAAGGAGGCCATCTTTGGATTCTTTGAAGAATGAGAAGACTCTAAATAGTGTAAGAAAGAAAAGCAGAAATAGGAGGAAGTTCTTCCAAGGAAGAAAATGTGCGTGCAAAGGCACAGAGATAATCAAAGAACTGGAAGTCTATGCACAGGAGACAGCACTAGATGACAAAGGGCACTGAGGACTTTGACTTTGTCTTATAGCAAGTGGTAAGCCACTAAAGGATTTAACCAGGGAAAAGATGAGATCAAATTTGAATTCAAAAACATTTTGAAAGTAGAGAGGAGGATATATTTCTAAGGAAGAGGGAGATCGTGGGCAAAATCCCAGGCAAGAAATGATTCTGGACTAAAATTAAGGCAAGGATAGCAGGAATGGAGGAGACGGGATATGTCTGAGAGACATTTCACTGGGAGAACAAAAGTAGGGTTCATGAGCTGGAAAACTTAATTCCCAATGCAACAATGTTGAGAGGCAGAATCTTTAAGAGGTGATTAAGTCATGAGGGCTCTACTCTTATGAATGGATTAATGCCATTATACCAGGAGTGTATTCGTGATTTTGGAAGGGGGTCCTGAGAAAAAGGATGAATTTGGCCCCCTTGTTGTCTCTTTTGTGCTCTTGCTATGTGATGCCTTCCACCATGGGATGACACAGCAAGAAGGTGCTCACAAGATATGTCCCCTTGCTTTTGGACTTCCCAGCCTCCAGAACTGTGAGTCAAATAATTTCTATTGCTGATAAATTACCAAGTCTATGATATTTTGTTACAGCAGCACAAAACAAATTAAGACCATTGTCTTTTGGATACAGGTGATGCACATAAGGAAGAATTCTAGATGGATTCCAGATTTTGAACTCATCAGAGTTGGATGATGGTAATAACTTTAACAATGAGGGAAAGAAGCAGATGGGTAAGGGAGTGGGGAAGAACGGGAATCAGAAAGAGGAGGTAACATGTTTGGTTTTGAGCAGTCCTTATACACTGAGCCTTTGATGTATTCATGCAGAACTGGTGACATTTGAGCTGGAGATATGAAATCCATTTTACTGATGCCAGAGGGAGGAACGTGATGAACCATGGAGAGAATGTTGAGTAAGCGATAACAGATAGGAAAGGATGTGGATATCACCCTCATTTAAGATTGGCAGAAAAAAGCAACATAATGAATGCAGAGAGGGAGAAAGAGAACAGGAGAAAGTGCTGTCAAGGAATCCAAGAAATATTTTTGAGAAGGAAGAAGAAAGAACAGATGGTCATGAGGGTCAAATGCTACACCCATGTGTCAGCCAGATCTGGCACCAGAAGAGCTGTGTCCCTGCCACTGGCTGTGTCCATTGTGTGGTGGAGGGAGCTGCCAGGCAGGGTGGTAGGACTGGGAATGAATGCAAACCGTGGGAGACGAGGAGAATTTTGCCTGTGAAAAGAAAGGAGAGAAAGGTGATTGCAACCCAGGAAGATGGTGCTTCTTAAATTTTAATGTAGGAGGAAGATTTGACCATGTTGGCAAATAAAGGGCAGCCAACGATGTTGGAGAATGAGTAGAGACTTACTGGGGAGCCTCACTGTTCCCCAATATTCTCTCTTTTTAACCCAATAGTGTGAATCATCGCCACTCTTCTAAGGTATCTTCCATCAGTCCTTTCATCGTTGAACTGAGAAAGGGCATTTGTGCTTTGGAAGGAATGTGCAGGTAGAATAAGACCTTTGCTGTGAGGATGGTTTGCTTAGGGTTAAATGCAGCTTATACTGTTGGGAACTTGTTTGTACAAATTTTGGAAGACCATTTGCTTGCACTGAGACAAAGTTCTTCCTCTATATGGTTCAGGGGTGACCATGACAATTTTTTTGCCCCATAAGAGGCAGTTCTGCCTGCATCCTATGTAGCATCCCAGAGGTCTTAGACACCCCTTGAGGGCTGGAGGAAAGCCAAACCCTGCAACACAGTGGGCTAGGCTAGCAAGTTCCACATGCCATTGCCGCTTGTCTAATCCTGAATATGGAAGGGTTCAGGTGGCACCTACTGGAAACTTAATAAAACTTTTGTTTACTTTTTTCCCCCAAAGTACAAGACAAGAAGACATTAGCCAGCATGCAGACTTTAACTATCTTCTTCTATTTAGCTTCTATTAATTCTCAGAGTAACTTTTCTCCTAAGTCAGTGAATGGTGAGATTTTCACATTCTCTTAAAACAACTTTGCATTAGAATTCAGTCTCGTATTGCATCCAAAATAAACTTACATATTTAAAAAAGCAACCTGTTCTTAATAGAACCTTTCTTATTTTTATATCACTGAATATTTTTACAACTTATAACAGAAATATGTATTGAAAGAGTTGGTGCATGTCTTGACATCTTTATAGGCTAGACAGTGCTTAGTACATAGTAGGACTGAATAAATATTTGTTGAATGAATGAAGAGTAAACAGAATAAATTAACAGTGAACATTTTGGCCACTAGAGAAGAACAGGCTGGGAAAGAGCTATTGTCAGTTTCACAAAACCTGTCAAGAGCAGCAAATCACAATTAAACACAAAACACACACAAACACACACACACACACTATCCAGTTCTATAAACAGGAGACAATTAAGGACCTACACAGTGACCTTCTAATAAATGCTAACCAAACTAGTCTTGTTCATTTCAGAGATTCTTACCTGTCAAAGCCTAAATTCAGGGCTCTACAAACCACTTCCTCCTGTATGAAGCCTGATAATAAATGTTAAAAAAAAAATCCAGACATCAGCACAGACCCCACACCACAGCAGGGTCCTCTGTCAATCTCTCCCACTTCCTCTCCTCTACAAAGACCTCAGAAGTCAAAAGCTGGACTGTCAATATCGAAAGTCTAAATATATTGCATTTTACCCTCCCTAACAAGCCAAGCATCTTTGCAAACAGAGCAATGAGCTTTGGCATTCTCGAAGCACAACTGTGAACACAGCAGTAACTCAAGGTAAAACAACCTTGTGAAACAGGTCACCAACAGAGCAGCTTGTGGGCAAGCAGAGCGGCTCTGTCACCTGAAGCAAACACTGCTTCACAAAGCCGTAGCGTGGAGTCCATTGACAACTGTGAGCATCTCCTAATAAGTTGTGTACATAACTAGAATAAAGGCAACATCCACTCATATCTCTTGCTGTTTTCACTAAAATGGCTATTTTGTTTATAGCTTATCCATGTCATACATGCAATTTTTAAATGAAATTATGCAATAAAACAAGAATTTGGCTGGAATGTTGCTATTCTTGGATGAGTTTCAGCTGAGGGTGCCAAGGGCCTCTGTGCTCCCTGGACAACCGGGCCCTTATCCTTGGGATACGAGTCAGGTCCCCATATGAACCCCAGAAAACCCACCCAGGGCTTCCTTCAGTGAAGGGGCCCTGACCGATGTCTTCTGAAACACTGGGCCCCGGGCACTTGTCAAGTGCTTAACTCAAGAAATAGATTTAAAGAAGTCCTGTAGTGTTCAGAGTCCAGTGAGCAACAACATCAAAAATAAAACAAAAATAAACAAAACCACACACACACACACACACACACACACACACACACACACACTCTACATATAACCAGGTTGATGACCTGCATATGTGTGTGGCAGGGCAGGTTAAATGAAATTGGAGCTAATAAAATTGTATTTGGAGGCTAGAAATAAAATTCTATTTGGAGAAATAAAATCTTTAGTAAATTGGACATATGTGCAACATTATTTATTGCAGCACTGTTTATAGCATCAAAAAACTGGAAGTAACATAAGTGCCCATCAATAGGAGATAAAATGAGTAAAATGTGGTGTGGCTACACCTCTAAACCACAGAATATTATGCAGCCAGCACAAAGAATTAATTAGAATATACCAGTTGACTTAGTAAGATTTCTAGGAAGTGCTATTGATTAAACCAAGATACAGGAAATATATATGATATCCTTCTTTTTGTAAGACCAACCATAACCCAAAAGCTACGTATACACACATGTTAACAAGTATCCCTTTCTCTACAAAACCTCTTGTTCTTCAGTTCAGATAGCAAGTTCAGATGGTGAAATTGTATAGGGCAAGGGGCACCTGCATGTGTGCAAGTCTATGTAGATGTGTTTATATTTGTAAATCAGTAAGCAGTATTTTGCAATCCCACATTTTTACATTTTTTAAATGTTTGCATAGACACATATAATACATTTCTAAATACAATTTGATAAAGGAAGAAATGAAACCGGTGAACTGCTTTAAATTTTTTGGACTTTTTAATTTTATTATTTTTAAATTTTGTTTCAATAGTTTAATTTTATTTCAATGGTTTTTGGTTACATGGATAAGTTCTTTAGTGATGATTTTTCAGATTTTGATGCACTTGTCATCCCGCTTTAAATGAATATGACTTGGGTTCTTCTGGTATTTTTATTCCTGTAAAATAAACAGTGTCTGTACATCATTAATTAGAAAAGTGTTCGACACAGGGTATGGATTGCATTGTCCTCAGAAAACCCGTCAGAAGGAGGTGCAGGTAAGGAAATGATGTGCCTGGAGGTGCAGTCACTTTTTTAAGTTTACACAACTCCTAGCCTGCAGGACTGGATTTGTAACCTGAGGTTGCCTGACTCCAAAACCCTTTGGGCTACTCACAGGAGCCCCCCACAGTCCTTGTTTTTGTCTCTGCCTTAAGACCTCCGTGAAGAATCCCGCAGAACCAAGCTCCAGCAATGGAATTCTTTGCAGCTGATCACTTTGATTTCTCCAATTACCACCCACCCCAAGTTCTTGGGCAGCAGAAGAGGTCATAGGACTCTCAGCTCTCAACATTCCCACATCTGTGTGATGGGGGCAATGGGTAAACCTTACACCATGACAATGACTAAGCTTTTAAATTGGAGCATCCCCAAAACTGAGCACATGAGCCTTGCTTGTTTTATTATTCCAGAATTTTTTACTAGGTGTCTGCTTTGCATTCAGAATAAAGATTCTTTCAGCAATCTGTTGTAGTGCCTTTAGTACATTTCCAGGCTATAGCACCTAGACTGAAATTCGTATTAAACTGGATCTTTACAGACAGGGTTGGCCCAAATAAACGTGGAAAAAGGAGCACTGTGTTAAAACACATGCAGTGGAAACTAATCAAGGGCGCGTACAGACGTGGGTAGCTACTTGCCAACAACCAGGCCGAGGATAAAGTAGTATCAAGGAAAATCAACCAAGACTGTTTCATATTAGAAGGTGGAACCGCCTGGAAACAACATGCCCTCTCGGAAAGTTCCCGCCATGCTCTGGCTCTGTTTTTCATGGTGATCCATCTCCCGGCACAGCCTGGCGTTCTGCGGGCTCCGCTTCTGTTCACACTGGCAGCGTTGGTGCACGTGGGAGTGCAATCACGGTGCTCACGTCCGCATTTCCTCGGCTGCCTGGAGCCCACAGAGCACTCCTTTCTGGGGGTGCTGCTTCTTTCCTTGGAGCGTTCCGTCCTGTGCCTCCCTGTGAATTCTCTCCAGGGCACCTGCCTGCGCCTTCCAACCTCAGCTGACAGTCCCATTTTTAAAAGGTCTTGAATAAAGTGAAATGTGATTAGTTGTGGGAAATGAACCAATAATATGCACAATTCAGCAGCCTTTATCACTGATGAAATCCGGAAATAAAGGTAATTTTCTCCAACTTTTGGTGCTATAGTAGCCATGTTTCTATGAAAAACACTGGTAGAACTTAACTTGTTTCATCTCCACAGTGACTTTAGAAGAAACATAATCCACCATCAACTTCAGGACTGCTGACCGCACACTTCAACACTTCTTGGTGTAGAGCGGGGTAGGGGAGGCAATACAGAGAGAGAAGAGCTCAGACTCTGAAATCTCTCCGGGATTTGTGCCCACATCTCACACTCGGTACTCTGAACTTAGGCAAGTTACTGATACTTCTAGGTTCCATTTCCTTGAATAAATGGGGTATAGTAACATTTACACACCCCATAGGGTTGTTCAAAGGATTAAACGAGATGATACCGGTAAAACACTTAGAACGATGGTTGGCAGATGGGAGCGCTTAGTAATTTATTAATACTATATCCGAAGGAAAAAAATTGACTTGGGCCTTTCTGAAATCAATAAAAATGTGTTTCTATGGATGTTAAGGCCTTGTCTTCAAGAGGTGGAGAGACTCCCTCCATGAGCTCTCTGTCTAAACCAGACAGACTCCAGCCATTTGAAAATACTCCCTGCCTCTTGGCCTTCCCACAGAGCCCACCTGACATCATTTGGATATTTGTCCCCACCCAAATCTCATGTTGAATTTTAATCTGCAATGTTGGAGGTGGGACCTGGTGGGGGATGTTGGGATCACGAAGGTGGATCCCTCACGGCTTGGTGCTGTCTTCCTGATAGAGTTCTCACGAGATCTGGTCATTTAAAAGTGTGTAGCACCTGCCTCCCCGACTCTCTCTTGCTCCTGCTTTTGCCATGTGATGTGCCTGCTCTCCCTTTGCCTTCCGCCATGATTGTAAGCTTCCTGAGGCCTCCCTAAAAACTGAACAGATGCCAGCACCATGCTTCCTGTACAGCATGCAGAGCTGTGAGTCAATTAAACTTCTTTTCTTTATAAATTTCCCAGTCTAAAGTGTTTCTTTATAGCAATGGAAAAATGGCCTAAGGCACCACCTCTCACCTGTAGAGCCATCCCCATCTCTGGCCATTTCATCCCTTCTTTAAGAGCAGACCCAAAGATCCCCCATCACCAAGGTCTCCCCTGGGCACTTCAGGGGCAGAAGCCACTTGGGATGCACCTGGCTTCCATCATTGCTCCTATCTGTATAGCCATCATTTCATGATGCCATCCGGACTGTGATTCCTGGACATGACTCTGCCCCTCAGGCATGACTGCCAAGCACCTTCAAAACGTGCACATTTGGGGTTTTCTCATAAAAACTTTTTTCAATAAATGTCTGTTACTGCCTATTTGTTAAATATTCCAGTTAGGGCTGCCAACAGCTACACTGTAGTATACCATATGTGTGCTGGGAGAGTAGGGGAATTAAAAATGCAGTTTATGATTTTATATGTGTCACACACACACACACACCCCCCTTCACAAAATAAAGCCTTCCTGAAGCTTGTTATTGTTCCTTGTTTTGTTTCTGCCTTGAAGATAGTCACTAAGGATGTTAATAATTTGTGACGCATCATCTTTAGTGCCTCTTTGCACCCACAGAAGGAGGCTGTCGAGGGAGATGTGTTCGATGTGTGCCCGCCTATGCTCACTGCCACCCACTGTGGACAGTGGGCCCTGCCGTGTGTACCTGCTGGGGCTCGCCACTGTGCCCCCACTCTCAGGCCTCTGCTCACCTGCCCTTGCCTTGTCTCAGGCCTCTGCTCACCTGCCCTTGCCAGTTTCAGCTTGTTCCATTCAAATCCCTCTGGACCTCTTCTTGGGAAAAGTACTGCTAATTCTGATAATTTATTAGGCACTATTATATACCAACCTACATAAAGTGCTTTAACCTCAACAGTGTGCTGGTAGGTATTTACAAGGCCCTCCAGGAGGAAAGCCCTGATTTATGATGTTTGCCAATTTCCAGGGTGTACCTACAGCCCATTCTGCTAGGACATTTCTTCTGAAAATGAGGATTTGTTCCACTGTGATTGGTAAATTAGGGAACAATTTGAGTGTCATGTCAATGTCGGTTTGCTCAGGCACCATTTTGTTGCTCAGAAGCCAGGTGAATGCAGTAGGAAGGATGGATCTCACACATACGCATTTCATCAGGACAAGGAGCCACACCCACCCATACCTGCTATCACTACTCTCTCTAGGATTTTAGATAATCCTTGTATTAGTCAGGGTGCTCCACAACCCTGGAGAGAAACAGAACTCAGAGAGAGGAAGGGAAATGGTGTGGTGGGGTGGGGGAGGCGAGAGAGAGAGAGAGAGAGAGAGAGAAAGAGAACTGAGTATATAGATTTATTGAACACGATATTTATGATGGGAATGGCTCATGCAATTACAGAGGCTAGCAAGTCCCATGATCTGTTGCCTACACACTGGAGAACTGATGCTGTAACTCAGTCTGAGTCCAAAAGCCTGAGAACCAGAGAGTCAGTGGTGTAAAACTCTTAAGTCTGAAGTCAAAGGTCTGAGAACCTGGGAAGCCATTGGCATAAATACAGAGTCCAAAGTTCTGAGAACCTAGAGAACCTGGTGCTCTAGGGCTGGAGAAGATGAATGTCTCAGATCATACAAAGATAATTCACTCAAATTCACCCTTCCTCCACCTTTTCATTCTATTGGAGACCTTAGTGAGTCAGGTGATGCCTGCCATGTTGGTGAAGAAGGATCGTCTTTACTCAGTGTTTAAATTCAAATGCTAATTTCTTCTGGAAACGTCCTCACAGACCCATCCAGAAATAATGATTTTCCAGCTATCTGGACACCACGTAACCCAGCCAAGATAACACCTAAAATTATTCATCACACACTGCTCTCAGAAGTTCAAATCAACATGAGCTACAGCCCTTCCCGCCACCAACAGGCTGCACGGCTCTGTGCGTTCCCTTCTGTATTAGCCTGTTCTCACACTGCTAATAAAGACATACCCAAGACTGGGTAATTTATAAAGGAAATAGGTTTAATTGACTCACAGCTCTGCATGGCTGGGGAAGCCTCAGGAAACTTACAATCATGGTGAAAGGGAAGCAAACACCTCCTTCTTCCCGTGGCAGCAGCAAGGATAAGTGCTGAACAAAAATGGGGGAAATCTCCTCTTAAAATCATCAGATCTCGTGAGAACTCACTCACTATTGGGAGAACAGCATGAAGGTAACCACCCCCATAATTCAATTCCCTCCCACTGTCTCCCTCCCAGGACACATGGGGATTATTCAAGGTGAGATTTGGGCGGGGACACAGCCAAACCATATCACCTTCTCTTTAATTTCTCCTCTTGAACCTCAGCTATTGTGTATTTTTCCTTTGGTTTTCTGTTCTTTTTCTCTTGGGAACTCTTTGATTCTCTTCCTCTTGCAGACAGGGAGGTGGACATGGTGGGCCCCCAGGCATGGGACACTCACTTCAACAAGCAAACTTCAGGTCTTTCTCAAGGTGATCTTTTCAAAGTGACATCTTTACTGTAGTATTTATGGATTTCTTAATGAGTTGAAATGTATAACTATGTGTGCTACCATTTTTATTGGGTTCCTCACCTTTTATTTTTTGCCACTGATAAAGGTGAAGGCTGTTTCCCTAACCCCATTTCCCCATAAGCCCTGCAGTTTTTAGTGTAGAAATACGTACTTACATTATAGCAGAGCTAACTGCCTGTGATATGCTGGGGCCCACTCACATTCACACACTCTTACTTGAAAGAGCTGGTTGGATTCCCAACTCTGTGTTTAGTGATGTCACATAAATACTGAAACTACGTCACTGTGCAAAGAAAAATTCTGAAAAAAAAAAGATCTTCTATACTTAAAGAGGATAAGGTCCTTTTATGAAAAGTTTGTGTGAAGTGAAAATCTTCTGTACTCAGAAGACAAGGTTTCAATTTCTAGTTTTGCCAGCTGGTATGACCTTGAGTGTGGCATTGACCTTGGGTGTGAGAGCCAACTCATATTGGCCCCTGTGACTCCCCTCTCCTGGTGTTCACACCCTCCACGTTGCGCAAGGGGGTTGGTCTGTGTGACCAACAGAACAGCAGCAGAAGTGAGAGCATGTCACTTTGAGACCAGGCTCTAAAGTCATTGCAGCCTCTGACTTGGTTGCTTATTTGCTCCTTGGGCCACCTGCTTTGGGGAGGGCCAGCCTCCACATTGAGTGTGTCTCCTGACAACAGCCATGTGCCATGAACCACCTTAGAAGCAGTTCTTCCAGCCCCAGTAAAACTTCAGATGATGTAACTACAGCCAGCATCTGGACTGGAATCTCATAAGAGACTCTGAGATACAGCCATACAGCTAAGCCACTCTTGACTTCCTAACCCTCAGAAACTATGAGAAACAATATATACTTGTTTGTTTAAGCCAGTAAATTTTGGGGTAATTTGTTGCTATGGTCTTCATCTTTGTGTCCCCCCACCCCAATTTATATGCTTAAATCCTAAACTCCAAGGTGATAGTATTAGAAGGTGGGGCCTTTTGGGGGATAATCAGGTCATGAGGCTGTAGCCTTCATGAATGGGATTGGTGCCCTTATAAAAGAAACTCCATTGAGCTTGTTTGCCCATTCCACCATGTGAAAAGACAGCAGGGAGGTGCCATCTACAAACGAGGAAGAGAAACTGCCAGCACCTTGATCTTGGACTTCCCAGCCTGCAGGACTCCGAGAAATAAATTTCTGTTGTTTATAGTATTTGACTGTAGCAGCCTGACTAGACTAAGACATTTGCTATGGAGCAATAGATAACTAAGAGTCACTAAGCCATCTAGTTCTCTATATACATATGGCGAACAGGTACAATAATGCTCGCTCTGTCTACTTCATAGAGAAATAATGAAACCAAGTAGGGAAATGTGTGTGATTGCATTTTAGCAGCTGTAAAAATGCTCTGCAGCCATAATGTGCTATTATTACATTTAAAGATATCATTTAGTTGATTGTTTCCTTTGCTGTGCAGAAGTTTTTTAGTTTGAAGCAATCCCATTTGTCTATTTTTGCTTTTGTTGCCTGTGCTTCTGGGGTCACAACCAAAAAATATCATTGCCTAGACCAATATCATACAGCTTTTCCCCTACATTGGTCAAAGCTTAGGAAGGTTCAATGAGACAGAAGGAATAAGCTAAAGAGAGCTATTGCAAAACATGGTGACTATAGTTAATAAGAATATATTGTTGGCCGGGGGCAGTGGCCTACGCCTGTAATCCTAGCACTGTGGGGAGTCGAGGCGGGGGATTCATGAGGTCAGGAGATCGAGACCATCCCTGGCCACACAGTGAAACCCCTCTCTACTTAAAAATACAAAACATTAGCCGGGTGCTGGCCGCGCCACCTGTAGTCCCAGCTACTCAGGAGCCTGAGGCAGGAGAATGGCGTGACCCGGGGGCGAACTTGCAGTGAGCCAAGATCACGCCATGTACTCCAGCCTGGGTGACAGAAATGAACTCCGTCTCAAAAAAAAAAAAAAAAAAAAAAGAATATATTGTCTTCTTAAAAATGCTAAGAGTAGATTTTAAGTGTTTTCACCACAAAATGACAACTCTGTGAGGTTATGCATATGTTAATTAGCTTGATTTAGCCATTCCACAATGTATATATATTTCAAAACATCATATTGCACATAATAAATACATAAAATTACCTGGCTATTTAAAAAACTAATAAATATATCATTCAAGCCTCACTACATGACCTTCACATGATCAGAAATTTAAAAATTAAAATACTATGTCTCTACCATCCAGAAATTAGTGCAGTAAACACATTATTGAATGTAATTCAGATATTATCTATATATATAAACTTGCATACTTAAAATGAAATTATTTTTTACATATAATTTTATAACCTTTTTTTTTTTCAGTTAATAAGCTCCAGGTTTCCATTTCAATGAATCTTATATAATACCTAGTCTGTGTTCACATTTACTCGATTGCTCCAAACATTTTCTTTAGCTGGCTTAACCATTCAGGATCCAGTCAAGGGCCATTCACTGTACCTTGTTGCCTTCCTTAGGTTGCTCCTAATCTACCACAGCTTCTTTTTTTTTTTTTTTTTGAGACGGAGTCTCGCTCTGTCGCCCAGGCTGGAGTGCAGTGGCCGGATCTCAGCTCACTGCAAGCTCCGCCTCCCGGGTTCACGCCATTCTCCGGCCTCAGCCTCCCCAGTAGCTGGGACTACAGGCGCCCGCCACCTCGCCCTGCTAGTTTTTTGTATTTCTTAGTAGAGACGGGGTTTCACCGTGTTAGCCAGTCGATCTCCTGACCTCGTGATCCACCCGTCTCGGCCTCCCAAAGTGCTGGGATTACAGGCTTGAGCCACTGCGCCCGGCCGACAGCTTCTTTATTAATGACATGCAGTCATTGATGAAGACCATATTTCATCTTCTGGGCGTGTCTGGGTATTTTCTCATGAAGTCATTTTGTCTTTTCCTCTATCTCCCATATTTCCTGTAAGCTGAAAGTCAGATCTAAAGGTTGATGAATTGGGGATCAGACTACATCTTAAGTGATGCTGTGTACATAAAGCCTGGTTGACCCGCCATTGCTGATGCTAAAGTTGACAGTGGGTTAAGAGATTGAACATACAATCCTTCCATTGTACAGCTACTTTTTCTCCCTTAGATCAATGTCTAGATCTGCATTAACTACATCTCTAATGTTGATTTTCTAATTCTATCATTTATTCTATATTATTGATGGCCTTTTTTTCTTTTAAAATAGAGCTTTCTCTCATCAACTCAGCTGTCTTATTATCCCCAGTGCAGTTTATATTGGAAAGAGAAGGTAAATAATGATTGCCCTTCAGTGTCAAATTCTTAATGTAATGCGTTGGTTTAGTAGTCATCTCAAGTTGTGGCATAAAAGTATTGTCCTAGCTTTTGCTTTTTGAGTTTCATTATGGATTCACATACTTCGATTGATTCAATGTGCATTAATACACTATAACCGCTGCTACTTTTGATGTTGAAATTATCATACTTTTGGCCAACAGGAAGGGACTTCTCGTTTCACAATCGTATTAGTTTTTGACAGCTTTCTTGCTTCCTGACACAGCAAGACATCACTTATCCCCAACCTGGAATTATCCATCTCACCAATTAAGTATGGCCTTCTGAAAGGGCAGCATTAGGTAATGTCCTATCAAACAGACTGGAAAGGTGCAAGTTTCTACTTTATTTTCAGGATATTATATGTAAATTACAGGGAATAGGAGAAAACATTGCCAAACCCGAATTCAACCTGAATCTTGACAATGGACTTCTCTGATGCAAAGACTCATAAATATATATATATGTGTGTGTGTGTGTATATAGATAAGAGATATTTAAATTGCAAAAGCTTCTTCTACTTAATAAAAGTAAGACCAAAATAAGACCTTTGAGACCTGAACCAAGAGTTTTAATATCAAGCGCAGGTGGAGAGACCTCAGGATAGGTAGAGAACGTTCCCACCATCAGGCAAAGAAAGCATAAAGCTCTAACAACAGAGAAGAAGAGAAGAGCACGCCGCCAGGAGAAGGAGTTCTTGATTCTCCCTTCCTGGGGAGGAGGTTCCACCTATCAGTAGTGGGTGTGGCAGAGATGGAGGCAGAAATCAGTCAGAGCAGAGGAGCTTGCACTTACCTCCCACCGGGAAGGCTCTGGCAGGAGACCTTAGGGAGCGCTCTGCACCAAGGTGATGTTCTACCTTAAAGGAGAAATGGCAGTGTAGCCTTCAGGCAGAACGCTCTCCCATGTTCCAGGCAACAGAAGTTCCCAAGTGCTCCTGCTGAGGAAGGTAGCTGAGAGCTGTGGCCCATCAAGGAACCATCAAGGTGAGAAACAAGGTGGTTTCAGAGCCAAGATTGCTGTGGGTGGACAGTCTAAGCCAGGGGCCAGGTAAGGGACTTGCTTGAATCCTACATGAATGCCAAGGTGGGACAAAGCAAGCTGCAGATGGGACTTCCACCTGGGCCATGCCCAGGGGAGTGACTAAGCTGGCCC